AAAAAAACCTCACATCTTGAGGTAGTCTTTCTCTATTGTACTTTTTATTCAGTGCAGTGTTTTCTTTCCTTGGTGGTAATAATTGTGCCTAAGGATAGAAACTAGCATTTTCCATATTGCTGCATGGCTTTTATGATGGCACAGGACACATATCCTCTGGGTACGTGCTGGGACTTTACCAAACTCAGTTCTGAGTGGGGTTTCCGGTCTGGGTAGATCTTAGACGTAGTGGCTGTGCCGTCACACTGCCGCCACCCTCCCTGCTTTGAATTGTTGGACCAGACTCCTGTTGTCTTTGCCCAGAGATAGCCCCCCAAGTGGAGTGAGTGAGGTGTCTCCATGCTCCCTCATGAAGAGAAGCTCTCCCTAGTGAAAATGCACAGAGCATGAGGCCAGAAGACGTGGGCAGGTGATCTAAGCAGCCAACCCAGCTCAGCTTGGAAGGTCACCAGCTGCCCACTGCCCTCTTCTAGGCGGATACCAACAGTGACCGGCTCTTCACGGTGAACGATGTTAAAGTTGGAGGTTCCAAGTACGGGATCATCAACCTGCGTGGCCTGAAGATCCCCTCGCTCAAGGTGCACATGCACGAAAACCTTTACTTCACCAACCGGAAGGTGCGCTGCCCGTCCCTCTAGCCTTGCAGCACATTTGTCTTCAGGGTGGTCAGCCAACTTCAGAGTAGAGAACTTTGGGAAGAAGGCAAGTTGTGGTTCTCATTTCCCCATGGAACAATTGGATTTCTAGTTCCTGAGAACCATAAGGGAAGAAAAAGGACCTTCTTGTCTTAGAAGAGAAATGAATTTAGATGCTTGGGGAAGGTGGAGGCAGTGCTTTAACTAGTGGTAAGGACCTTACCTTCAGGAGGGTCAAGAGTTGCTCCAAAGGGGCCCCCACAAGGCATAGAATTCCTGGGACATGAGTTGTGGTGACCGTGCCCAATGGGGAGGTGTCCTGCCTTGTGCACCGGGACAATGCAGCAGTTAGCATTCCTGGCCAACACTGAGGTTTAAACAAATCTGCAGAGCTCCTTGTCGAGGGAGTGACCTTTAAATTATAGTGAGATGATGACTACATCTCAGAGAAGCTGAGACTTGATGCTCAGTTGAGCCACAAGATGAAACCATAAGTGAAGTAAGATACAGTACATTTTTGGAGTTAGGCTTGTCCCCTGCCATTATAGAGACTTCAGCCCAGCCTACATGGGATACCATATATACCAAATATCTCCCTGTCCTGCTGAAGGTCCTACCTGGCATGGCAGACAGATCTGTCCTCAGAATTTTTATTTAGTTCATTTGGAGAGGAGCAAGACCTAAAGAAGTAACATGTCTATATGCCCACAAGTTATTCTACAGGGAAGCATTTTACTGTTTTTCTGCATCAGTTGGCAGTTAAAACAATATTTCCATCTTGCTGTGTGCTTCCTTACCAGGTGAATTCTGTGTGCTGGGCTTCGCTGAATCACTTAGATTCCCACATTCTGTATCCTTTGGCAGATCTGATAAGGTCTGGTGGGTAGGCCATGCCCTGATGTGGACCTAGGCACTTGTGGGATTTGTGAGATGGCATCTTGGTAGCCAGAGAGCTGGGCCATTCTATACTTAATGTCTCACACTTTAGAAAAAGTAGTGGTTCTAGGCATAGTGTCTCATGCCTATAATTCTAGCAAATTAGGAGGACAAGGCAAGAGTATTGCTTGAGGCCAAGAGTTTGATTGAGACCAGCCTGGACAACATAGTAAGACCCTGCCTCCACAATGTTTTTACACAAAAACAGTGCCCCTGGGTAAAAAAGGAGCACTGAGGAGGTAGGTCCCCTGATAGCTGTTTCTCAGGATGACATTAACGTCACTATCTGCCAGAGGCTGTCCTGAAACTTGATGTGTACGTGATGGAGACAGGATTAGAACCCAGGCAGTCTGCCCACTCTTCCACTGTGGTATGTGGCATCGGGCTCGAACCCTCAATCCTCCCAGGCTAAGGAGGAAAGCAGGAAGGGCCCTCCCAGGGTAGGTTGAGGGAAGGGTCAGAGAACAAGGTTCCTTTGCTACTGGACATGAGTCTGTGGGCTCTGTGTCTAGGGTCCCTGTCAATGACAGCTTTTTAATAGGCTTTTTACAATACTGATTGCTCTAGTCTCTGCCTTCCCAGAGGATAGTTAAGAGGTTTTTGCTAGGAGCACAGTAGTGCAATATCATGATGACTGGGTCCTTTCTCTGGGACCCTTGGAGGCTGTTGATGTTGCATAGGACTTGTTTGACCCAAAGCTTTATGTTAGTGCCTCCTGCCCTTCGTTCGTTTTTTGTTTGTTTTTTTTTTTTTAAAGACCAAGTTTTCTTACTCTTTTGCCCAGGCTAGAGTCCCATGGCATCAGCCTATCTCACAGCAACCTCAAACTCCTGGGCTCAAGTAATCCTCCTACCTCAGCCTCTGGAATAGCTACACGCACCCATCACAACACCCAGCTAACATTTCTATTCTGTTTTTTTGAGACAGAGTCTCACTTTGTTGCCCTCAGTAGAGTGCTGTGGTGTCACAGCTCACAGCAACCTCAAACTCTGGGCTCAGGTGATTCTCTTGCCCCAGCTTCTGAAGTAGCTGGGAGTACAGGCACCCCCACAAAGCCCAGCTATTTTTAGAGATGGGATCTCGCTCTTGCTCAGACTGATCTCGAACCTCTGATCTCAGGGCAATCCACCTGCCTAAGCCTCTCAGAGTGCTAGGATTATAGGTGTGAACCACTGTGCCCCACCCCACTTGTCTGTTTTTAGTAGAAATGGAGTCTCCCTCTTGCTTAGGGTGGTCTTGAACTCCTGAGCTCAAAGCAGCCCTCCTAACCAGGCGAGGTAGCCCATGCCTATAATCTCAGCACTCTGGGAGGCCGAGGCACTTGGATCTCCTGAGCTCAGGAGTTTGAGACCAACCTGAGTGAGAGTGAGACCCTCTACTAAAAATAGAAAAACACTAGCCGGGTATAGTAGTGACACCTGTAGTCCCAGCTACTCGGGAGGCTGAGGCAAGAGGATCACTTGAACCCCAGAGTTTGAGGTTACTGTGAGCTATCATGCCATGGCACTCTACCCAGGGTGACAAAAGGGAGACTCTATCTCAAAAAAGCTATCCTCCTGCCTCAGCCTCCTAGAGTTCTAAGATCATGGACATCAGCCAACCTTGCCTGGTCTCATCTTATATTAAATGAGTTTTTGAAATTATCAACCATTCATGCATGGCATTTAACACCTATTTCATGAATTATCATTATATTAACATTAGTTGGCTCGGCGCCTATAGCTCAACCGGCTAAGG